CTCGAGCGGCTCTCGAGCGGCTCTCGAGCGGCTCTCGAGCGGCTCTCGAGCGGCTCTTCGAGGTCTCGAGGAAGTTGAGGAGAGCTGGCTTTAAACATATTCCTTTAAATCCTAAAATTTAAAATGTTAAACGCTGATTGTTGTTATCTTGCGCATCTGCATGGATGCAAATGGGCGTGTTCTCGCCACATGCATCCTCGTCATCCCGTATAAATTACTAAATGCAGGTTGAGAATTTCGCTCTGCCACCGTTTTAGATATGATGACCGAGACCATGCTGACGCCGAAGATCAGGTCTCACGTGTACATGGAACTGGGCCTCCCCCCCGAACAGGATTCCGTCGAAAATAAGGCGCTGATCGAGACCATCGTCAACGACGTGCGAAATCCCGCTCTCCCGCCTCGCGACTCGTTCTCGCGAAGGCGAAAGAATATTCTTTTTTTTTCCGCCCAGATCGAGAAGGCCTTCGAGTCCGGCGGGGTCCCCGCGCGGGACCGGTCCCAGGTCCTGCGCTTGGTGAGCGCCGGGTCGAAGACGGCCGTGTCGATGAAGCTCGCCTACGACCTGCCAGCTCTCGCGGACGACCCCATCCCGAAGATGACGACCCTCGCCGGGGCGAATATTATTTACATGGTTGTCGTCACCGGTTCGTTTCCCAGAAAATATTTTTTGCTCCCAGTTTAGATACGATTTTTTTTTTGCAAACTGAGATTTCTAGTTCTGCAAGGAAGCAAACTAAAACGGTTTCTTTTGAAAGCTTTTTAACCTGCTTGAGCGAAACGATGGGGAAATTTGGGCATTTTATTCTAAATTCCCCAGAACTCGCTGAAACAGTAAAAAAAAAAAAAAAGTGAAAGTTGGTATCGTCATTGCCGTAAGGTTCGTTATTCATTCTCCCTTTTCAGGCAAGGACAAACGGAGGGCAAAAGAGGAGCTGCAAGCCGTTCTCGACGCGGATTTGAAGGCAGAGGTGGAGAAAACGGCAATTTCCGACCCCGATCTCAAGCCAATCGCGAAAAAACTCGGCCAAATCCCGGTTCGTTCCGACAGATCGCGTCATTCACCCGTAAAGGACAAGACAACCCGCATCGAGTCACCATCATCTCTCTCTTTTAAGGACATGAAAGCGGCCACGACGCACCTGATGCAGACCGCGCTCCGATGGTGGCGACTGGCAATGGGCAAGGATCCGTCAATGGAAGACTCGGTCATAGACACGAGCAGTCTCATCGCGTCCGTGCAGAACTCCCTTCCGGCCGCGGAGGACAAAGATCAAGTCGGGACTTTGCTCTCCGCCCTCTCTGCGCTCTTCACTGACGATATCTTATCCTTCTCAGGTTTGGTATACTCATCCTTCCTATAGATTTATCTCCCTTTTGAGTAGTTTCATCTCTCGTGTGTGGAATTATATAATAAAAAATTGTACCATGCAATCCTTGGAATTTCTTAGAATTAGCTATGGAAGTGAGTTCTATTTTTATTATTATTATTTTAAATCATGCAACGTATTTATTGAATTTCATTGTAGAGGCCCATAATTTAGAGTAGGAAAATTTTTCGTTCTGGGAATTATGTTTCCCTGCTCTCTGAAAGAAAATTTCTCAATACCAAAAAAAAATCTATTCAAGATCTGAAGATGATTTATGCCCTATTCAAGGAAGAGATCGAAAATCTTCCAACTTTCTCTACCATCTACAAATGTGAAGATCCAATTGCCCTCATTATTTTAATTAAGCTCGTAGAAGTTGCATAATTTCAGTTGAGCAGACATTTTTTTAAGGTTATTTCTTCTGCTTGCACGTCACAAATAATGATTTCTACGTTCCAGTTATATAGCAGGTGAACATCCATTCCGTTCGTAAATGTCCATCCCACTGTCTCTCCTATGATACAAGACCAACGCAGTAAATTTTAATTTCCTCCTAAGAGTTATGAAATGGAAAATGCAAAATTAATCTGCTTCGTACATTCCTTGAGGTAATTAAAGGGAAATCTTGCCCATTGGAAAGTAAGAATGAATCAATCTTGCTTCATTTTCTTTTTGAATCTCGAGGCCAAATTTCAAGCAACTCCGAGTGTTGCTTGAAGCAACCAACGGGTTGCTTGAGATTTAGTAATAAAAAACTATCATCAATCTGAAGCATCTGATCATCAATCTGAAGCTGTATCTTGTTATCTTCTGCCAGAGGTGATCCTGTCCATCAATCCCCCGCTATACACCGACGTAACGGTGGTGAATCTGAAAAAAGAGTTCGAGGTCGGCGTGCACGACACGGCGACGCATCCGGACGCCATCGCCCTGGCCCAGAGGATCCAAGAGGAGGTTCGACCTCGCATGCCTCACACGTCCCTTTAGGACCGAGTCTGGCGCAGCTCCCTCCTCTTTCAGTTGAGGAATGACTACTTGCTGGCTGGGGGAGTGGATGTGGGCGTGAACGTCTCCCTTCCTTTCGCGCCTTCACAAGGGGGCATCGAGGCGAACGCCTTGACCACCTTCAGCACGGACACCGTGGAGGCGACCCGGGTCACGCGAGACGCTGCTCGCATCGCCGAGAGCAACGGGATCGACGGCACTTCCGTTACCGTGACGAGTGAGCCATCCACGTCTCCATCAGCCGATTCATACGCACAAAAATCTGGCCCGTTTAGGTCGTAATATTACGCTTAAGTCTGTTAGCCGTTAGAGTCAGGTCGATGGCACATGCTGCACAGGGCTTCTGAGAAAGGACGGAACTTTTCCGCCCAACCCATGGCCTCGTAGGGTAGTTTCTCGTAGGCCATGCGCGTTGCTAAGGTGGAAGCATAGAGTGGAGAGTATAACTAGAAACGACACTCCGAGGGGTAGGGTGGAAATATTAAAGAGACATCTGGTGGCTCGTTATCAACAACACTTCCATGAGCCGTGCTTCGTGACAGCGGAAACGGGATTCGACTCGTTCCGGAATTCGACCCAAAGGGATCCCTCAACGTAACACGCGTGTCTAGTTAGG